ACAACAAAAACCCTATAATTCAAAAGGTCTTGTAAGTGATTTCCATTAATTTTTTTTTATTTCTGTATGGGTGAATTTCTTCTTTGATTAGAAGTTGTTAGTTAGATTATTTGTTTTTCTGTTTCTGGTGTGAATTTTTTTTAATAATTAGAATTGGGTTAGTGTCTTCCAACTTTTCTCGACATTGTTTTCATTTGGAACAAATTTTTTTGGGTGGGTTTGTTTGTGATGTGTGTGGGTGAGTGGGTGTAGGTGTGGGTGTTTGTTTCTGCTCTATGTGTGTGTATAAGCGATGTGTGTGAGGTGGGTGCGTGTGTGCTGGGTCTGTGTTGGGTGGGTGTGCTGGGTTTGTTTGTGTGTCTGTGCGATTTGTGAGGGTGAGGGTGGGTGATGAGTGTGTATGTGTGTGCAATGTGATTGTGTGTGTGAGAGAGAAGTGAGCGAGAGAAGTATGGGTGATGTTGAGTAGAAGAGGGTAGAGAAGAGGTGCGGGTCGGATGGGGGGTTAGTGTGTGTGTGTGAGAGAGAGAGAAAAGGCATATCTGGGAGGGGTTAGTGGTGTTGCTGAGCAGTGGCGGGGAGGTGGTGTTACTGGTGGTGTCGCGGGAGCGTAAGAGAGAGAGAGAGAGAGAGAGAGAGAGAGAGAGAGCGGATGGGAAAAAAAAAAGAAGAAGAAAAGGAGATGTAGGGAAGGGTTGACTGACAAAAAAAAAAAAAAAAGATGGATGAAGGCGACCGAAGGTCTGTCAGGTGAAGGGACTGAGTGGATAGATTTTTGAAAAAAGTCAGAAACAAAAAATGCTGGAAGGCGGCAGAAGGTCTGTCAGGTGAAGGGACTGAGTGGTAGATTTTTGAAAAAAAGTTGTGAGCGAAAATGTTGAATTTGGGAGAAAATGTGAGATATCGTTTGATGAATTGATTTAAATTTGTTTGTTGAATATATCCAATAATTTATAAGTGGATCCTATAATCTTTCATTGAATGAAATCTGGCTATCTCCTTCCTCTTATTTTTCGTTTTGAAGACCACAAAAAATTAATATTGTGTGTCCAAATAATCCCCTGAAACATCTCCAATGGTTTGTCAGACTTTGTCTATATTATATATATACTATATATGTGTCAATGCTATATTTTGGCATGTCACAATCCCAAACTACTACATATTGACAAACCCTGTCTAATGGTTTATTCAAAAAATCGATTCCCCTAGTGATTCCATTTTCTGTTTATGTGTTTGTAATTGTATCAAAAATAGTAATTGGAATTAAAAAAATCCACTCCTTTTTCATTCATCTTCTCCATTTCCCTCTCCTTTTCTTTGTTGTACTTGCAACATTTCTCATTCACTCTCGCATGCTCATTTGTTACATTGTTGATCCACCATTTCATAAAACACAAGAGTTCGAAATCCATGCAATACTGCAATACTATTTAAATTTAATTTATTAACTTAATTTATTAAATTAATTATTCATAATCATTAGATTAACAGTGGGCTCATTCCAAATATTTGTTGAGACCCACAATATTTTTAATAATTATGATGAATTAAGATAATAAATTAAATTTAAATAATATTATTGATTACAATTTTACGTAATTATCTTTAATCTTTCTTTCTCTAGTCTTGCTAGACATTTTAGTTATGAAATACTCAATTTCATTTATGATTGTTGGATCAAGATTGGAGCCAAGAGAAATGAGCTTGTGTGAAATTTGAGAGAATGTGGGGTTGGAGTTGGTGGTCATCTTATTTAATGTGACATTTGGTATCCTAATAATTTTAATTTATTAATATATTTAAAATTAATATAAAATATATAATGATGTGACATTTGGTGAGACCATGTTGATTTGAAGAAAGTAGATGGTCAAGCATTCCAAATTACACATCATCACATATGCTTATTGTGTCATGTGTGCGTAAGTTAGAAGAGAATATTGAATTTACCGTTTTAGTGTCATTATTGTCGTGTGGTATAATTGATTAATTATAATTAATTATGTCACATTAGTGACACCCATTAAATTATATAACCATCAATAACTTCCACATTCAAAACTTTCATGTAGGATTAGTGGGACTTACTTGCCATATTTATTTGTTTACTATTGGTTGTTACACCTGGTAGGGATTTTCACGTGATATAACCGTTGCATTAAATATTTGCTCTTATAATTTCAAGGGATAGATCAAGTGGTAACAAAGACGACAAGTAAACTCAAATATACTGAATTCGAATCGTGACAATCATTTGAGACTAAACAATAAGAAATTTATCTTTCATGAATACTTTAGTTTTGTAGTCTCAGTGTGAATGACTTACTTTTAATCAAACCAAAGAGAGAATTAGTCGAAATGCGTATAAACTAGGTTGAACAACCCTGACTGTTAAACAAAGAAAAAAATTACTTTCATTGTTCCTTCGCACACAATTTAGGCATTAATAACCAAATTAGAGTGGAGATGCTCAATTTTTTCCCCTTTTCGTGCCAAATTATGGAATTCACATACCAATGACATGTTGTTACCCCCTTAGCTTGTTGGCGGCATTGGTAGCAGAAATCCAATGCATAGCTGAGAGCGACAGTCTATGCACATGGGCACGTGGACACAAAATCAAAATGCAAGCAGGGAAGTCAGGTGGCTTGAATTGTGAGACAATACTAGCTTGAAGGATTGAGCTATAGACTGGGTCATGGTTAGGCACGAATGCATTACAATCAAATGCTAAGGGTTCATGGCACATGCACAAAATGTGAGGACGTTAGGCATGTGCCCTGCAGGATGGTGGCAGTTTTTGACAGGTGCACAGTATGTAAGATCTCTGTCAGATTCAGACAATCATGTAGGAAAGTTATAGACACCAATTACAATTTTTTCTGCCATCCAATATGGGAGGATTTGAATTGTATGCAGTTACCTACGTGGTTAGGCTTGTAACCGCCACCCTGAACATTATAAATAGGATGTTTAGGTCTGTAGTGCAACCAATAGAGTTGGACACGTTTTTGTAAACAGACTCAAAACTGAGTTTCTTATACTTTATTGAGAAATAAAAGTTTGGCATGTAAATCTGGTGTGTTTTGTCTGTGTGTTTTCTTCTTGTCTCTTGTATGTTCTTATGTGCATTCAATGTACATTTTAAGTGTTTGGCTGAGACTAAGTGTAAGATTTTAGTATCATCACGAGACAGAAATTTAGTGAAAAATTTAACCCCGTGACACACGCCATGGGAGATGCCCTTATGCTAAGACGGTGGTCTTGTTGTCATGCTTGTACATTAATTAGCTAATATCTACTTATTTTGTTCAATAAGTCTTTCTACATAGGCATATCTTTAATAAAATCTCTTTCATTATCTAAAATATCACTAACACTCATCGTTTTTAACTAAAAAAATCAAATTATCTAAACTATCAAAATTGTCTTTACATAAACTTCAAACAATCTTTCTATATAAAATTCGAGCTGATTAAAATTTATTTTTCTATATATTAAAATTCAAGTCGATTAAAATTTATTTGTCTACATCTTAAAATTTGAGCGATTAAAATTTTATTTTACATACTAAAATTCAAGTCAATTCGAACTCAACCTAAGCTACTAGCCTCGATTAAAATTTGATTCGAGTAAATTAAAATTTATATTTTTTTACGTATTAAAATTCGAACCAATTAAAATTCGATTTAAGCTGATTAAAATTTATTTTTTAAGTATTAAAATTTATATTTTTTCATGTATCAAAATTCAATACAAGCTGATTAAAATTTGATTGAACCGATTAAAAACAAATTTTAGTTGGCTCGATTCGAATTTTAATCGGCTCAAATTTTAATAAGTAAAAAAAAAATTTAATCAACTCAAATTTGAATACTTAAAAATAAATTTTAATTAGCTCGAATTCTATTTCAATTGGTCTGAATTTTAATACATAAAAAAATTTTAAAAACAAAAAAAATCTCATTGAAGTTATATCTATCTAAAGAGAGTGTAGATGATATTTTTTTCTAAAATATATTATAGGTAATTTAATAAAATTGCATTTAGTTAACACCATTAATCTAGTAGAAAGTGTCAATAAAGATTTAAAAAAAAAATGTCCTTGAAGATATGATAAATTAAAAATAATTTGATTGAAATTTTCCCTTATAATAACTCACAAACTTCCACGTTATTCAACTCAGTGAGATACCTGACCAAAAAATTAAAAAAAAAATCAGTGAGAGACATAATCCCCAAACCACGCAACCGAAGTGATAAATACCCCTAAATCTTTTACAATATTTCAATAGGGGCAAGATCCTAAAATTTTGAAAATGCTAAAGACAACCCAAATTGTTTCAAAATTGCAGTGGGGGCATGTGACTCCGCCTCTGCCCAAGACCCAACTCAAATGCCATGATAAAACATCCAACTCAAAATCAATTAATATAGATAATATAATCCCTCAAGAATATAAACCAATCTTATGTCTACGTAAATTTTCGATGAGAGAGAGATCCCTACAGTGGTGAAACAATTAAGTGAAGAGGGAAAATGCCGGTCAGGATAGTCACTGCTACTTATACCGACTCTTTGGATCCATCTAGGAGATTGGGGTGTAAGGACGAATCCATTCTATCACCCCAGTTTTTACACTTGAGAGATTTATCAACAGATATTACTAGGAATGAAGCTATATATGGAGATTATAACGATAAAAAAGTCGAACTATAATCATCAGAAGCAGCATAGCTTCCAACAAAAGTAAGCAACACAACTACAAAGTTCATCAACCTAAGTCACTCCACTCAAACGGGAATGAAATTTCCAAGTGTGTGGATTATTGAGGCAACCAAATCTAACCTCTGATTTCTCAGCTCAAAAAATTATGCAGAAAACAAGATCTTGAATCTAGAGTGTGCCACAGTGACTCAAATCACCAAATGACGACAGAATCCTTTGTGAGATCAATCCTGACTGAACATTTTTTTTTTTACCCCCGTGAATTGTCTTCAGGGATAGTAACCAGTGAATGTGAATCCCCTTCCCACAATCTCACCAGCACAATACCATGCAAAGCACTCCAGCCCAAACAAAGCAGCAATGCCAGCATCCTCAACCTTCAGTTCCTGCCTGTTCTTCCACACGTGCTTCACGTAATCAACTTCCTTCCAAAATGACTCGCACCGACCAGGAATGCTGTAGGGTGCACAAACGAATAATATAAATGATAATTTGCAAATGGACAGAAATAGACAGTTGTAAAGAAATTGTAAAACAAAATGATGTGGCTTATTGGTTCCCAGCTCCCATCACTTGAACAAAGGCCCATCAATCTCATATTCCTCAGTAAAACTAGGGGCAGTAATTTTTGACACAATATGACCACACGATGCAAGCCCAACACAAAATTAGCAAGTTGAGGTCAACTAGTTCTTGACACTACATCAACATGACATGATTTGCTAATATAAATAGTAAATAGATCGGGTAAATGTTAAACATGAATAACCCAAAAATGACACGAGTTTACGTATCATTCAGTGTTGAGTCATCACAGAGTTTGCCTATATGAGTTTTCTTAGAGGGAAAATTGTAAAAACAGGTAGCGTTAAGCATCAAAGCAATAGAAATTATTTGTGGAAGGTATACTAGATTTTTTTTAATAAAAAAAGCATCGACATGAATCCTTGTAAAATAAATGAATTTTTTACTTGTTTTTATTATTATAAGGATTCAATAAATTTTCAATTTATGGAAAAATTATGAGTGTGGGTCTGATTGATAGACATGGAGTCTAAATTTTAGATTTTTAATTCACATGTTATATGGGTCAACCTGAACATGACACAATAATAAACAAGTTGGGTAAGTGTCATGACATCTAACACAATGAATTAAATGGGTTGTGTAAGGATGGGCACTCAGCACGAATTTGAACTAATACAACCCGAACACTACTCGACATGACACAGCTGTCACCCTGAAGTAAAACAATTTCACTATATTCAACTAGTACTAAAGTCATCTACAACATCCATTAATCCCCATTAGCCACGCTTTCCAAAGTAGTCGGTGTATGGCATATTCATTCCCAATCCAAGCAAACCACAAATGTTTCGATACCTCCATCATGCCAATTAGTCACGAAAAAAAAGAAGCAGCAAACTTAGGGAATAAATATTCCAAGGCAATACCCCAAACAACTGAATGAAAAAAGGAATTGTCATTTGTTCAAACACTATTTATGGAAAGAAAGAGCATGGCACCATTGTGATATACGAATCAATAGTCATTAGATAGCATTCACTGGGGCTAACGCTTAGGTATCAACTTGCCCTCAAAATCACCATTATTCATGCATCACGTGGATGCTTTCATAAAATTAAGTCCATAAAGCATCAAATGCAAATGTATAAAATAAAACTATGTGGAGTTGCACAATTGTTTTGACAGGGGTTTGATGCTCCTCATGAGAACTATTCAAAATTCAAGCAGTAGATTTCAAAATTCTAATCCATAAACATCAAGTGTAGTGATTAAGCACTTGTATGGAATCATAAGTTGCAATATCTATGTGCATCTACCAACGGTGTAAATGGACGTAGATGATTTTGGATCACAACTCAACTACCCATCAACTTGTGTTAAAAAAAAAAAAAAAACTATTTATCAACCAGTTTAGACACAATTTTGCTCATTAAGAAGAAGCAATAATAAAATAATGGCATGAAATAACATGTATTAATGGCTAAGAGTGTAGGACATCTTTCCCTGTCTAATAGAAGTTGAAGGTTTCATGATGCATAATGTATAACAAAAGGCATTCTCAAGAATCAGAAAAATATGCCAAAAGGCTACAATTGTCGCAGATGAAGGGCCTACGCTGGCTCACGCGCTAATTTAACAAATTAGACGTTCACTTGCTCAAGCTCCCACATTTTCTAGGTGTCTTTCCAAATAAAAAGCTTGCATTTTGAACTCCCAGTCCAAATGCACCATCAAAGGATTAGGAGAGCCTTTCTTTGAAAGGTGAAACATGCTAGTGTGTGTTCCTATATGCCGTACTTTCTGCGAAGATATTGTAATAGACAACATAAAAAAAAATGAAATAATAATAATAAAAATAAAAATGAATAAGTTAAATTTGAGAAGTTTTAGACTTTTGTTTGGCTTGGGGGCTGTCATTATGGGCTTAGGGATATGATTTAGAAATCAATGGAGATAATTTAGCATTTTTTTGGTGTAGGGAGAAATATCAGATAATTATAAATGCTTAGTAGGATACAGTTTTAGAATTATAGAATTGGTTATACACTAATTCCTTATTACTAAAATGACTTTAGTGTTATTAAGAATAGTTGACTGCTACATCTTATATGTTATTGAATAGCTACCCTAGGTTGCCTCATATGGTTTGGGCGGGAAGAAATAGAATAAGTGGCAGCAGAGAGAAAGAAAGAAGGAAGAAAGGAGAATGAAAAAAAAGAAGGGATTGGACCCATCGAAAGTATGAATTTATTAATTATTTTATGATTTTGTATTTTATTCAATTACATAGTATTAGGTTTATTATAAATAGTGATAAGAAAAAAAAAAAAAATATATATATATATATATATATATATTTTTTTTTGATTAATATGTAAATGGGTTTTAATGGAAGTTGCTAATTTATGCGTTTTTAGACCTAATTTAATATTGACTGATCTCGAAGATGTTTAAAGAATTTAATCAATGTGTAAGAAGGCAAAAAAAAAGGGGGGGGGGGAAGGAAGTTACTAGTTTTAGAGTTTCCGTAGGAAGAAGATGGTGAAAAAGTGTGAAATTATGAAAACCTCCCTTTTAGTTTCAAAGAACTCTATTTTGACTCCTTTATTCTTCTAAATTTAATTTTAACTACCGTTTTACTTCGTAAGTTGTAAGAATAGAATTCTGAAAAATTTATGGCAGTTCCAAAAACAGAAAATTCGCTTTTCAAAAAAATTACACTTTGATCTCAAAAGTTTCAAAAATTATGATTTGACCCCAAAACTTTAAAAACTTTTTCAAAACAGCCCATAATACTTCTATACCCTATTTCCTCGTATTAGAAATGATATTTATATGTAAAGATATATTAAATATATATCAATGGATAGGAAATACGTAAATTAAATATAAAACTGCAAAATGACGAAGTTAAGAGCAATGTTACCTGGATCGTAGATCGCTTTGGTACGTAAAACAGATACTGGTACATAGTACGATACTTTGTTAGGTATGCAGTACGATAGGAGTAGGTTTAGTTGATACGGTATTTTGGGTCTTAATTCTTTTTAGAACTCTTATGTAGATTATTTTCACTACTATACAACATTATATATTACAGAACATTCATAAACACAAGTTAGTTATCATTTATCTTATAGTTCTGCTTGATTTTCTATTACCTAAAATAATATATAATTATAAATTTATATACATGTAGTCAATTAATATGTATTTTATATTTGTGCTACATGTTCTAAAGTGAATTGATTTAGGGTTAATATTACAATTTGGGGTCGTCTATTTTGGTGATCCGAATCGCAAACCCACCTTATTTGAGATCAATGTTCCCAGATCGTAGGTCGTTAAGGGTTTAATGAATTGTGGTAAACCTTGGTTAAGAGTAGGGAGTGATCGTTATATTATTTTGGATTAGGTGGTGATTGGATTGAGGTTGAGAAAGAGAGCTTTGAACTGGATATTGGAAATCAAGATGAATAGTTTACTACTTTTTTTGGGAGGATTTTCTATATTAAATGTGTGGGTGCAGGTGCGTGCGTGCGTGCGTGTAGATTTTCATATATATGATATATGTGCTGATATTTAGGGTTGCAATTAAATGTTTTGCAACTATAAACAGTTATACATGTGAATTTTAAAAAACTTGTAGGATGATTTTATATCATTACTTTGGTGATAAAAGAAAAATTTTGTGTGCGTTGGGACTAAAATGACAGTTTTGGTGTGTGTAAAAATCATGTTTTATGAGACGGAGACTAGGTTACCATGTCTAAATGGTAACGAGATTGTATACCGATGTGATCGGTATAGGGATGTGCACATAGGGACCAATTATTAGGCTAGTGATGATAAGAGACAAGGCCAGTTACCAGACTAGTAGTAACAAATATAATTTGACAAATGTATTTAGAACTGAATGTGTGTGTGAGTGTTTTGGGTTATGAATGTCTTTTCATTTATAAAGTTATTTGTGAAAATGAGTGGGTGTTTTGAATTATAAGTGTCTTTTAATTTATAAAGTTATTGGCAATCATGAGATCATTTTGTTTACATGATTATGTAGCAGGGATTAAGGTACAATTTTTTGTACTTATGTGTGTATCAAAATTTATTTTCGTATATAAACTGTAGAATTTATTTTCACACCTTATTAGAGGTAGTTGTTATTCAAGGGCAATTGTGCTCATCCAAACATTTAACATTTTTCAGGAGAGAATCAGCGTGAGGAGTAAGTCTGCTGATATACAAGGAATTAGAGGATTTGAAGATTTATTTTATTGTAGGTCTTCAGGAATAAATGTCTTTTATAATTTTTAGATAAATATTCAATTGTTTTATGAACAATGTTGCTTATACTTAGAATAGTGAACCTTACGATTTAATTATTGTTTTACATAGATTTAATAATGATATTTGTGATGTTTAATTTATTTCTTTGGTATTCATTAGATCGTTAGATTGTATCACTTTATTATTTATTTTCTGCTGTATTTTACATTTATTATGCCCAAAGTTAGTTAGTTATGGCCTTTGTGGCCGATCCGCCGCCTATCCTATGTGATCCGGGGTGGGGGTGTGACAGGTATCACACGTGATATGACCACTAAAACATGACAAGAACTCACTAGAAAACAAACAACTAATCATCAAGCACCATGATGCAAAAGGGCACACAAATGAAATGTGAAACGAGGAGCCAGTGAATGCAATCAATCTTACAGGAAAGGACAAACACGTGTTTCAAACATCTCAACGATTTATTAGATATGGCTATTTATGGGGATTAATCAGAAATCTAAATAGCGGATGCAACCACCAAGATATAGGAACTTGATTACCCCAAACAAAATTGATTGTTATAGTTTCTCAAAATATGAAACACCAAGGAGGTATAAGCAATACCACCAGAACAAGCTACAATAAAAATCAATGCAGAATAAACATGGGTGCAGAGAAAAGAACCTAGCAAGACGAGTGTAAAGCAACTGCTTGGCCAACAGGTTGCATTTCTCCACGGTGGGTGGTTCCTGAATGTACTGCTTGTTCTGTTCCAACATCTGTTTGTAGTAGCCAGTGCCATGCTTTGCCAGAAACTGTGAAGCTTGGCATGCCTTGGATTGCAGTTGCTGCAACTTTGACGCCATCGACTCCAAAATAATGCCTGAACATTTCAGACATAAATAATTAAAAAAAAAGCCAACATAGCACACAACTAATGTAGCATCTCACCTATTGACTAGAGAAAAGCTGAAAGTATTTACCAAAGCTATTTGTTTGACAAAACTTGACCCATTCAAACCACAAATGGAAGGAGTAAGTCATAAAAAAAAAGAAAGAAAGAAGCAATTCCTCCTAAATCTCAGTCTCAAAAAGGTCCCTGTCTAGTTTTAGGTCCATTAATTGAAGGACGCTATTAGAAGTGCATATGGACTTAACCTTTGGCATAACTTAGCACAAAGTGGCTACCGTCCACATTCAGATCCACAACCTTACAATTATTAGTCCAAGCATATTAGGATTGCATAAGGCAATGAACCAAAAATATACAACACAAATCATTTCATTAAACACAATTAGCAATTATTTCAAATCACCTTCCTGATAGTTCAAAAATTAAATTTAGAAAAGAATACCACTCTGGAAGACATAAAAGCAATAAACACATCTTAAATTCAAACCAAACAATAATTCAACCCAGTATGGTACTCTTAAGGACTCTCAGAGCAAGTATCATCCCATATACAGACTAGTCATCGGAGGTGAACATTTCCATCAATTAAGTGGCATCCTATTACGTTAACTCTATCTAGAAATCTCATTGCTAGCTAGTTTATACACAACCCTAAGACTCCAATTTCTACACAGATCAGACCGAGAACAAGTGAACAAAACAAACTCATTACACAATCCCGTTTCACAAACATTAACACATGTAGGTATATATGAGTACATATATAGAGAGAGGGAAATTGAGTTAATAAACAACGAGATCTGAGAAATTTGACCGCTATTTATGTGATTATAGCCGATAATGAGATAGGAATGAAAATCCCAAAAAGATAAAGTGAATCGAATCTATGATTTTACCTTTTGTGTTCTGTGAAAGAAGGTTTTGGTCGGTGAAAGCAAAGACGATGAAAGCCTTTGCTGCTCTCGCCGCCAAGCTTTTGTTTCTTCAGAGGCTAAGAGTGAAAGACTTCAGAGAAGATGTGGAGAGATAGGGAAGATCTGACGGTGAATCGCTCTACGTTTGCTTTAACGGAGTTTACGTAATAAGAGTTTTAAGGAGTAATGTCGAAAAAATCGTTTAAATTTTAATTTATATTTTTTAAGATTAAAAAATTTAATTTATACCTTCAAATATTCAAAAATATAAATTTGTAGCAACGCGAACCTCACCTCGCCTGAAATTAAATAAATAAATTATACTTAAATCCATTTATATTTATCGCTTAATCATCTAAACCCTTTATATTTAACGTATTACACCTACATTTCTTGAAAATTTAAATATGACTAAAAATATTCTCTCAATTAGACATTCAAATAATTATATTTAAGTGATGTATTGTATTAGATATAAAGAACATTATATAAATACCTACATTATATTATACATTCAAATAATAAACTTGATATTAAATTTTAGAGTATAATAGATACACAAAATAAAATGTATTATAAAATTATAATTTTTTATTATGATAAAGTAATATTTTTTAACGGTTATACTAACAGATATCAACGATAAGGGATTATATATTACACGTACACAAATATGAGAAGCTGTAAGAGTAATATTCTAAATATGAGGGAGTTCAAATGATTAAGTGATAAGATTGAGGGGATTTAAGTATAATTTATTTATTTAATTTTAAATGACAAACTAAGATCTGTTAGTTTTACGTGCGTATTGATACAAATTTATATCTTTGACGGTATAAATTGAAATTTTTGATCTTTGAAGGTAAAAATTAAGATTCGAACGATTTTTTTGGCCTAATTTGTAATTAATCCTTTTTTTTTTAAAGTCGGGGGCAAAATTCTTAATTTTATTCATCGTAGAATTGCAATGGCACCCCTTATAATTCTCATACTTTTAAGAGATACCCCTATTATTTGTGAAATTGTGTTGTATCCCTTAGTTCATAGTATACCCATAACCTCATGAAGCTTTGGGTTTGCAGGGGTTGCCTAAAGCGTTAAACAATAACAATTATCACGGTGCACTCTACCATCAAGCTAACTCTGTCGTTCAAGGCTCCCACCGATAGCCCACTACCCCAAAGTGGGAGAAACCCCATCATTCTATCTCATTTTTTTTAAGGACTTTGAGATAGTTTAAGGTCTAAAGTGATAATAGAAAGAAAATGGAAGGGAGGGCGTCACTGTTATGCTAGTGTGTGTGTGTGAGAGAGAGAGAGAGTTTATTTTTTTTTTGTGAAAATTGGAAGTGAGTTAGGAGATAAATACTGCAAAAAAATTTATAAGAGACTAAGTCCATGTTTAAAATTATATGTAAAGAGTTCAATTCACTCTTTTTTTTTATCTCAAAAATATCCTTCCTTAAAAGAACGTTAAATGAATTTTCTATTTTAGAAATTGTTATCCCTTAATTCAATGTCAATTAAAATATGGTAATAAAATTTTCATCATAAATTTAAAATTCAAATTCAAAGTGCTCTCTCTCTCTCTTTATATATATATATATATATATATATATACACATACATACCTATATATTATATTTTTAATGGTTTGAAGACTTTCATAAAACCTGATAAATATTTTATTGTTTTTACAGAAAAAGGGAGTTCGGGTTTATCAACTGCATACTGTGACATTTGTGACGATTTGGGTCCCTGAGACAAAGGGGAAAACTCTGGAGGAGATCTAGTTTTCCTTCAGATGATGAGAATATGTTTATTTTTTTCTTTTTTCCACTTATGGCATTTTTGTTGTCACCGTTGTCCTGTATCCCATTTCGTAGGATTCCACAAATGTTATGCACATGTAATGTTTGCTTTTTTTATATCGTTTCCTCTGTTTTTTTTTTCTTGTTCACGTTTTTTGAATTATTGACTACAATAAAGCAACTATAATTTTCATTTACCATGTATCCGACCATTTGGATTCCTCATGTTGTACCACTCCACTCCTTTGTAGGTTCTTCCTAAAAATTTTAGCATTCTGTAATTTGTGTGTCCATTTGTTTTTGAAATTTACCCACATATTTTTAATTGTAGAAGTGAACAGCCTCTGCGGTAGTCGGTGTCGATGACTAAAATGTCATTATGTCTTCTCAAAGTTCTTGGTGGTGGCACCACCATTACAATGATTCATTGTCTTGATCTTTCACAACTTCGGATGTTTAATATTGTTTACATCAGCATATTATTATAAATTTAAATGGTAAAATTTAAATTCATGTTATTATTTTTTTTTATTATGTTATTGTTCATATTACTATTTTTGTTAAGTATGTTACTGTTTATGTTACTATTATTTTGAACATGTTACTACTATTATTTTCCTAAATATTAATATTCAATGTTACTATTTTTTTTTGAATATTATTATTTTTTGTATTTGAATGGTACTATTTTTTTGCGTTTGAATTTGAGAAAAATAATTATTATTAAATATGTTACAGTTTTTGTTAAGCATGTTACTATTTTTGTTAAACATATTAATATTTTTATTGAACATGTTACTGTTGTTATTTTTTAAAAATATTAATATTGAATTTTTTAATTTTTTTTATGTTTAAATGTTACTATTTTTTTGTGTTTAAATGTATTGTTTTTTGTGTCCAAATGATAACTTTATTTTTTGTATTTGAATGTTACTATTTTTTATTTTTAATGGTACTATATCTATATATGTGGATATAGATAGATAAGAGAGAGGAAAAATTTTAATGTTAGTCAAACTCTTAACCTATATATGAATATAGATAGATATGAGAGAAAAAATATTTTAATGTTAGTCAAACTTCTAAGATTTGAAGTTTTAAACTTTTAGTTTTATTTCACTTCTAAAGGAAATAGATAGTATGGTAAAATTGACAAAAAACGGACTTCATAACAAATAAATTTTCTTGACGGACTTAAGTCTAAAGAAATCTATATAGGGGGACCAGACTCCAAATTTCTCCTTTTTTTTTTTAATTGAGTTGATATTCTAATTTATAAACCCAAACCAATCAGTTTATTTTTTATTGGACCTTTAGTTTTTTTTTTTGGGATCAAAGATTGGACCATTAGTTTTAATAGGTTTTTTTGTGGACTTAAATTGTCAAGGATGCTCGACGGATCGAATATAGACCGAATTGGTTTATGCCTGAATCTGAATATGAATTCGATTAAGTTTTTGTAGATCCGATTATCTGACGAATTTGAAAATTTCAATCTATATCTAAATCCTTTATTTTTCAAACATTTGATCTAAAAATTCGATCTAATCCGATTATCACAAAAATACATTTACACCAAAAAAATTAACAATAAGAATTTGAATAATGAACTAAAAAAATGAGGAAAAATAAAAAATTGAAATAAAAACAAGATGAAAAATCAAACAAGAGAGGGAAACAAAATAAAACTGAAAAAAGTGGATCATACATTATGATATTCATTCTATTTTTACTTATTTTTCAGTATAAGTATAATAAATGTGTGATATTTATCTACATAATATAATTTTTTATTCAAATCAGATTAATAACGGATTGAATTATTATAAATCAATATCTGAAATTGTTTAGACAACTCTAATTAGATTCAAATCGGATCAGATTAAATTAATGGATTGAAAAATTAATCCATATCCATTTAAACGAATTCAAATTTAAATTGGATTTGGATTGAAATCTGGTTCATTGACAGGCCTAGATGAGAGGATTTTTTTTTTTTTTTTGGTTTTTTGAACACTCGTGGAAGCTTTGATTTGTGCTAATTATGGACTATAAATTGTTGGGTCTCATTTTTTTTTATATCAAAACAAGAAAGTGCAGATATAGATTATGTAGGAAAATTTTGGTTACAATCAGAAAGGAGGGAAGCCCTAAGCTCGAGAGGGGGGGACCCTAACCAGTCCAAAGGTAGGGAATTGGTTAGTTTAGCAGCTGCCACCCAATGAACAG